TTTGTACCAGCTACGCCCAACTCACGGTTACGGAAGGAATACCAGACAGAAATAAAGCAGCAAGGTTTCAATATTAAAGTGGTGGAGAAAGCCGGAATCGCCATTAAACGACTACTCCAAAAGTCCGACCCATTTAAACCGCGACAGTGTGGACGAGAAGACTGCCCAGTGTGTAGCACAGGTGGAAAAGGACCGTGTGATAGAGAAAGTGTGACGTATGAGATTAAGTGTATCCAGTGTAACAGCGTATACGTAGGGGAAACAGCCAGGAGCGCGTATACCAGAGGGAAAGAGCATACGAAATCACTTAACAATAAGGAAGAACGATCTGCATTGTGGAAACACTGTAAAGAGAAACACAATAGAGAGGTAAAGCAGTTCCGAATGGATGTGACGGGGGTTTATCACAATGACGCGATGCTGAGACAAATAACTGAAGGAGTGAGGATAAATAATGTGAACGAAGACTCGCTTATGAACTCCAAGAACGAATGGAACTTTTTTCAAATCCCACGAGCTGTGATTGATACATCATGACCGCTTACATGAAGCCTGGAAGAAGTGTGGACATTTCAGAGTCACTTATATGAACAATTATTTATGAGTATTTTAAACATGGCGGAGTACTACTGATGAGGATCGTAATTGATCGAAATCGATTTGGAATTCCGCTACATTTTTACAAGTGACTTTTTATATACCATTTTACACGTTTTTACAATTCTTGTATTCGTTTTATAGTAGTTTTTAGTGCGTCGAACGTGACTACGAGACGTTATGTCTAGCAAACTGACTCAATTATCGAACACGTTCCTGGCCTCGGCCCACAAAATTTCATCACAATGTACAATAAAAATTGGAAAGAAATTAGTTATCGTAAGTAGTGTTATGTGGAGGCGCGCTGGCCTCACAGTTAGTGCGCTCGACTCCGGATCAAGTGGTCCGGGTTCAAGCCCCGGCCAGGACATTGTGTTGTGTTCTTAGGCAAGACACTTTACTCTCACAGTGCCTCTCTTCACCCAGGTGTATAAATGGGTACCGGCAATTTAATGCTGGGGGGTAACCCTGCGATGGACTGGCATCCCATCCAGGGGGGAGTAGAAATACTCCTAGTCACTTAATGCTACAGAAACCGGAGTCAAGCACAGGCCTAATGGGCCACTAGGCTCGTAAACAGACTTTACCTTTACCTTAAGTAGTGTTATGGTTTCAATGATGTGTACGTGTAGTTAAAAAAGGAAATTTAACAGTCTCGTATTAACGAACAATATTAGTCGTAGTGACAGTGTTGTAAGTATGGTTAGTATTGAAGTCTTGTACGTAGAACCAGCTAGTATTGTCAGTAGCAGGGCAAAACGAGTCATATGTCTGCTAATTTTACACCTTGAATAATAAAAAGTTTGGTTTATAACAATTTTGTATCAAGGAACGCGTTCAAAAGTCTATCAAACGATTTTTGTTTTACAAAACTCTTTGTGTTTAAACAAAAAAACACATTGGAGTATCAGGGTGGAATAATACAGGAAAAACTATCTACAGGTTGACTATCCATGGACATCAACGGTATTGAGTACCAGGGTGGACTATCAAAGGCATGAAGTACAAGGGTGAAATAACATACCAGAGACTATCTAGAGGGGAACTTCACATGAATATCGAAGGTTTAGAGTACCAGGGTGGAATAATACAGGTGGAACTATCGACAGGGTGACTTTACATTGATATCAAAGGTATGGAGTATCAGGGTGGGATAATAAGGAGGGACTATCTACAGGGCAACTTATTTATTTAGTTATTTATTTATTTATTTATTACGAATATTTAGACAGGGTAGCCCAGTTCAGCAAATAGCTGGTTTCAATGGGGCCCTGGATGTGTATAGAAATCATAGTAGGGGTTGCTAAGGAGGACCTTGGCAGGGGACACTTCCCATAGTGTGATCTTTACAGAGATGATGGTATGGGTTGCTAAGGAGGATCTATGCAGGGGACATTTGCTACAGTGTGATGTGTATGGAAATCATGGTATGGGTTGCTAAGGAGGACATATACAGGGGAAACTACCTAAGGTGTGATGTGTATGGAGATCCTTATATGGGTTGCAAGGGAGAACACTAAATGTTGGGGTGTGGAACTTTAGGGCAGATCAAATTACCGGCATGTGACTTGGAGGTAATACGGAGGTTTAGGAAACATTAGGTATGAATTTACTAGCAACCTATCATTGTATGATACAAAGTTGGGAAAATGGTGTGGTAAATATGCCAGAATATGAAATGATACTTTAAGGCTCACATTGTGGTTTTCAGCAGTTTATGGTTTTATCCAAACTCAACTAGTAATTTCAAAATAAGAAAAGAAGTGTACTGGTTGGCATTGAAATTTGAGAGTAAAATGATGCAAACTTGGTAGCAGTTTGTGAATGAGAATGCACAAACACACTCTTCTTATGAGAGCTGTAGCCTGAGTATTAAACTTATTGCCACAAATTTTCTCGATTCTATGTCTTATGAAAAGTAGTGTTACTCCTGGGCTTAAATGTGGCTAAAGAATAGGGAAAGGAAAATATCTTATTGATAATGTGAACACCAGGAAATCCAGTTGAGATACTTTCTATTTGTTTCAGCCCAGGGAGATTAGCTTGCACAGAACTGTGA